ACGTTTATTCGCTAAACTGGGAATTGTGAAGAATTGACAAAGGAATTGAACATTTTAGGCTGCACTGGAAAACATTGGTCACCTCAGCCATTACTTCCACGTCATGTATCCTGGCCTTAAATTTGCATTTCCTTTGTAGTACCTGTGTTATAGTAAATTACATATGGTAAGATCTATTTCTCCAAGTTTGGGTACTTTGACTTGAAATTTGAATTCACCTTAAATTTTCAGGAATTGGCAGTAGAAGCAGTACTATCGCCCATTTCCCCCCCCAGAAAATAAGTATTTTATAATAATAAAATCTCTATGAAATACTCATTTTGACTGCGTTGGGATTACACTGAAATTCCAACCCAGTCAAGAAATCTACAAAGACAAAGTAGGGACTACTATGTCTCTATATATTTCCTACGAAATACTTTTTTAAGACACTGGGCAGAGTTACACTGTCAATCCCGACAGGCGTCACCAGTGACAGCTGCAGGGAATTGGCTCTATCTATGGAGGGTCTTGCAGGATCCTCCATAGACCTCATTGCTGTATTCCCACACATGCGTATGAGTACATCAGTGACGCCTGATGGGACAGGTTCAGGTGAGTAAATCTCACCTTTAACCTCCTCTCCCCAGCCATAGTACCCCGAGTGGCGATGTCACGTCAGGGTCCTGGATGCTTTGCAAATTTGGCCCAGGCAGTGACAGTGCCACTTTAAGTGAATATCCCTGTAAGTATTTTACAAACAATTGGCATAGTTGCTCAGACATGAGTAAGTGAGCACAATGTCTGCTTTAGTGCCCCGGCAGCTTGTACTTTTACAGTGAACATATATAGATAGATTGTGCTAGCAAAGTTGGAGTGTTTAGCCCACCTTGTCTGCGTATAATAAAATCTCAGACCGGTTTTGCATATTTGTTCTTCGCGGTACCCTGATGCACATCCCAGAAATTAGAGTTTAAGCACCATAAGCACTTCACATAACTGGTGCTTAGACCACACTGAGCCCATTTTAATTTCTGAGAATAGCTTACAGCAGTAGCGAATAGCGATCTGTCAAAAATTGCTGCCGCTATAAGGCAGCCTAAAACACTTACAGAGTTATTCACTAAAGTGAGCATTGTCAGGAATTCAAAGTGAATTTCTAAATTCAGACAAAAAAACCCAAACTGCAATAATTTTCCAAGTAAATTTTATTTTCAGCTTGGCTACTTTGGCCTTAAATTTGAAATTCCCTTTGAATTCACTTTCAATTTTGAGTAATTCTCCCATTAGAGAATAATCCTGCTCATTCCAGGTTACCACTGTCAATGTTTACGCGCGGCGCGCACCCATTAGGCTCTTTCTCTCCTCCCCCTCCGGTTTCACCTACCTGCGTGCATTTTACCGCAGATAAAGTAGATAATGAGAAATGCTGGAGAGAGAAGGAAATTAAAAGAATTGATATGAAATATGTTGCTTGAATGACATTTTGCCCGAATGGCATTTTCATACACCAATGTTAAAACAAAAGGGGAAATTAGTTTAAGGTCATTGTCCACAAAATCCACATATGCCAATAAATTAATGGCAGCACACTGGGAGGTCTGCACTGCAAAGACATGTTGGGATTCAGAAGTGAAGAAAAAGAATTGCAAAATTCAGGCTGAAACGTTCTACATAGATTGTATCCAGCTCTAAAAGCTTAATCGAGAACATAACAGATCTCTGCTAATGTGGTGTTTTCCCCGGGTACCATTTTAGCATCTTACCT